CCGCTTCCCGGGGCAGCGCCGCTTCCCGGGGCAGCGCCGCTTCCCGGGGCAGCGCCGCTTCCCGGGGCAGCGCCGCTTCCCGGGGCAGCGCCGCTCTGCGTCCCTCCGACCACGAAGGGTCCCCCTTCCACCGCGAAGGGCCCGCGGGGCAGCCAACGCCGCCGTCGGTCCGGCTATCCCAAGGGCGCTGGGGGCAGCTCCCCGGGCCGTGCCCCCTCGGCGTTCCCTTGCCGCGGGGAAAACGGGGAGGGCAAGCCCAGCGGAGAGCCCGCGGAGCGGTGGCAGCCCCGGGCCGCTGCCCTGCCAGGCTGCCCTGCCCCCCGGGCCGGCTGCACGCCGCCTCCCCGCGCCCCCGGCGGGTCGGGCTGGGCAGGCGAGAGGCCGGCGGCAGAGACCGCGGCTGCCGGCAGGGAAAGTTGGAAAGGCCTGGGGGAGAGCCGGGGCAGGGGGCTGGCAGCGGGGTGACGGGCGCGGAGGAGGAGCGGGGAGAAGCCGCACCGGGAGGAGCCGGGGGAGATCTGCGGGCGGCGCATCAGGCGCCTCCGGGGGAGAGGAGAGGGAGGACGCGGGCAGGGAGCGCCGCTCCGGGTACCGGTGGCCGAGAAGGGAGAGCTCCGCCGGCATACAGGGAAGGCGGGGGCAGCGTCGCTGACCTGCCGCAGATCGGCTCATCCGCCGCCCCCGGAGGATGCACGAAGCGCCGGCCGCCCGCACGGCCCCGCCGCCGCCGCCTCCTTCCCAGGGCGGCAGCGGGCAGCGGCGGGAGCGCCAGCAGAGATAGGGGGACGCGGGGAAAGTTGTGCGGGCCGGGCGGAGGACTGCGTGCCCCGCTGGGGCAGGAGGGCACCGCCGGCATCAGCGCGGAGAAAGTGGGGCTGGAAAGCAGTTTCTAGTCGCACTGCCAGCGAAGCGCATTTAACCAGCATTACGGGGATGAAGGGAAACTGGGAAAGTAACTCAGAAAAGTGAGTGGGATTTTTTTTTTCCCCCCCTCCCTCTATTTTGCTCCTAATCCGAAAAGAGCCGCTTAAAAGGAAAGCAAAAGCTTCCGTGTGCGCCCGCTGCTGGGAGAGGCACGGGAGAGGAGGGCACTCCACACCGGCACCCCTGCCCACGCTGGGCGAGGGTGCGGGTTCCTGCGCTCGACTCTTCCCCGGCACCATCGTGTACCAAAGCAGCTACTTGTAGTAAACAGATTCATCATACAACAGAGCGCAGGAAGGTGAGACAGAAGCAGAAACAGAAACTAACACTGAAAGGAAGAAAGCAAAAAAAAAAAAACCCAAAAAACCAAGAAACCCCAAAAAGACAGCGACTGCGAATTACTTCCAGAGAAAGTGGGTGGATGTTGTGCAGCAGCGACCTGGGATTTTAGGGGATGCACCCTTATAATTTGCATCTCTCCAGTCCGAGCTTCCCTTCTCCGGTGGCAGAAAGCGGCTGTACTCGGTACAAGAGGAGGAATAAGCAGGAGGGGTTCGATCAGCAGTGCTTGCGGTGCCCTACTGATCTGTTTTAAGGATATTTTTTTTTTTTTCTTTTCCTAGTGGATGTTTTCTTGACCTTGATTTTGAGACCTCTTGCTTGCATCGCAGTTTTTGTGGCTTTATGTCCTCTGGGGAGAAGTGGAAAGGGGGAGGCTGGCTTCAGTGCTGAAAGTTGCAATCGTTATTATTTTGGAGCCGGTATGAGCACCAACATAGTCTACGAGTGGCTGAAGACCCTGCAGCTACCCCAGTACGCGGAGTCCTTCGTCGATAATGGCTACGACGACCTGGAGGTCTGCAAGCAGATCGGCGACCCGGACCTGGATGCCATCGGCGTGGCCGTGCCCCACCACCGGCGCCGAATCCACGAAGCCGTGCGGCGGCTGAAGGAGGCGGACGAGAGGGCGGCGGGGCTCTACTTCACCCTGGAGCCGCCGCCGCCCGCCCCCGCCGGGCGCTGCCCCCGCCGGGCGGGGGGGCCGGAGGAGCCGCGGCGGGGGGCGGCCCCCAGGACCCGGCCCGGCGGGCGGCGGGGGGCGGCCGGCGCCGGGGGGCTGGTCGCGTACCCCAGGCTCAAGCTGAAGATCATGATCCGGGACAAGCTCATCCGCGACGGCATCAACCTGAGTAAACCGCCCTACTCCAACAAGGTAAGAGGGTCCCCGCCGGCCGCCACCCCAGGAGGAGTCGTGGCTGTCGGGTGTGGAGGAGTAGTGGGGCGGCTGGGCTGGAGACTGGGGGTCCAGCACGGCCTGGTCCTGCCCTCTGCCATGTACCGGTGCTGAGTTTCTCCAGTTGTGCAGTGGCGTTTTGGAGGGGAATATGATAGGCAAGGTGTGAAGAGTAGTGGGGTCAACAAAGGTGAGATCCACCAGCGCTTTTTGACACTGCTGGTATGGCATGATGCTGTGTTTTGTTTTTTCCTCCTTTTTTTTTTTTTTTTTTTTTAACTTTTTTTTTTTATGTTTTTTATTTTGAGGTGGGAAAGTGGAAATTGACAGGTTGGTCTTAATGGTTTGCACATTTCTTTGTCTTTTCTGTGAAACTTTTCCATTGTGTCCAAGAGGGATGGCTTCGCTCATCTTTTGCTAGTGGTCCTGTTTTAGTCAGTTTCTGTTGGTGAAATGGCTCCTGAAATAAGTGGTCATCTGGCTGGAGGAAGAACTCCAGCAGCTGAATCTAACTGTTGCCTGGATTTATTTGCTGGAATATGGTAGTGACTGGTGAATGTCAAAACTATTCATCAGGCTCCAGCACAGGTCAATCAGTCTCCAGGATGCACAGCCTGCTGAAGGACCATCTGAAGGATACATCTTAGTAGAGTCCATTCCAGCCTCAATGTTTATGTAATTCTTACCTTTTGAAAAGGTTATAATGTAAGATTCATCTGTTTTGGAAATTTGAATTTGTTTTGTCTGAAATTTTTGGTAGGTTTCCTGCTGAAAATGTAATATGCAGAATAAGTAAAACAATAGAATAAAATGAATAATACCATGGAGAAGAAAATTATTTGTGAGAGAAACTAAGGTATTATAATGCATGGGGGGTTAAGAGTTCAAGATTAAGTTCTTCAGAGTAGTTTGATGACCCAAGTTGCCTATATTTTCTTCAATGATTTGAAGTCTCATTTTTCAGAAAGACTGAGCAGTTCATGTTGTCCTTCAACTTGTGACTGCTTTTTCTCTCTGAAATGCTTATAAATGTAAGGAAGTATGGTGATGGGGAGGGCTGCAAGTCTGGGTTTAGAGAAATTTGAGGAATTAAAATTGAGAACATATCTACTGTCACAGACATGGCTGTGAGGATAATGGGTAAAATTCAACTTGGATAACATTGTGAAGGTGCAATAAAACTGCAAATTTCAGTATTCCAATTTTTTAACATCTCGGTGACAGAGGCCCATAGTCACTTCTCAAGTACAGCACAATTATCTGGTCTGGGATATTTATTTGTTCCCTTTTCCTGAACTTCTGGCTGAGGACATGGTAAGAGATATTATGTCAAATTTAAGATTTGTGAACATATAGTCTAAGTACAGCACCTCCCAAAAGTTACTGTATCAATTTGTGGAGATTCTTTTCCCTCCATGGTTTGGAGTAACACACGATTATATTGAAATTACCATTACATGTCTGATATAAAAGAAATTCCATGGAAGTTGTGGCTTGTCAATGTAGCTGCACCACATTACCACCTCCATAGTTATGTTTCATTTTTTCCATTTGACTTTGTGTGTGTTCTTAGTTACCAATTCAGTCTTTCCAAGTGGATCATCTGCCTTATCTCTGTGGTATTTTAAAGTTGTGTAGAAGTGGCACTTTGGGACATGGTTTGGTGGCAGAATTGGCAGTGCTGGGTAATGGATGGACTCAGTGGTCTTAAAGGTCTTTTCCAACTTAAATGATTGTATGATACTCTTCCACGGGAATTGTAAAATTTATAAGATGTCAGCATATGACATCAAGGCAATTCAAATCCCTGGCATTGATTTCTTCTTTAGCTCACTTTATTTTAATTTGATGGGCCTGATAATGCAGATTAACTGTCAGGACAAGCTTGACTTAAACAGAAAGCATCACTCAGCTTTAATTTTTTTTAAATCTACATGTAATATTTTGAAAGACAAAGAGAAACAAAGTTTACTTTCCTAGTTTTATTTCAGGCTGTAGTGTCAATGTATTTATTTTGGATAATGAATGCATATAACATCATGTTTTACAGTAAGAGAAAAAACTTTTCTCACTTCACATTGTAGCATGTTGTAAGAAAACATAAAGCTGGCAAGATTTGAGTATCTGTTGCTCAACATGCATTATTCTGAATGCCACCCACTATAGTAATATATTTCCAAAATGGCTTAAAGTGAATAGCAAAAGATCACGTCACTGTGCATTATTCATTGGATGTTGTTTAAAGCAAGAAAGATGAAATACTGTGTTTTTGCATCTGGGAAAGAGCCATATTATAGCAGTGTCTCTAAAAAAAAAAAAGCCAACAAGACCTAAAAAAGCTAACAAAGCCAAACTTTAGAAATTTTTTTTTGTGGGTATAATTTAAACATTAGAATTTTATATAGAATATACAGCATATGTAGAATATACAGGCTTCTTCATGTCAAAAGAAATTGAATGTATTTTCTGCAGCACACAGGATTGAAGAAACAACTTGAAGTTTATGTCATGTTTTTTTGTACACATTTACCACTCATCCTTGTCATGTGGACATTCTGGAGTGAGGCACTAGACCACTAACCTATTTGATATCTATTTGCATTTCTGGTTGTGCTGAGCTGCATACTAGTCTTCCACTCCCATGGTTTACATGGAAGATGCCATCTTTTCTTCTTAATATCTACACATAGAAATTAGTATCTATAAAAGGAGGAGCCTTCTGATGTGTATGTGTGTTTATGTGTACATATGTATATGCATTTCACTTGCTTCCTGAGGAGTACTTCTTGGACTCAATTAAGAAGTTCTCAAGCAAGATTTGGTGTTTTATTTTAAAACATCCCTGAGGACTGGAAGTGTTGCTCCTCTGGCTTCTTCAGAGTCTTTTGCTAGCTGGCTGAGCTGTAAACATGTCAGAAGATCAAAAATTAATATTGTATGTGGCTGTGGAGATGTTAAAAGCATCCTTTTGCTGTCTTTCCTTTTTGTTGTAGTTTCAAATGAAAGGTGGAACAACAGAGCGGGCAGAATAGACATCTATTGCTATGGTAAATTTTAGTTTAACTTAGTTTGCAGTCAGCAGAAATGGCTAACAGCTACTTAGCAGAGCTTAATATAAATCCCTTAAAAGATGTGCAGACTTGGAATTGAAGCCATGTGTGTGGGTGATTTCAGACATAGAGAATTATCATAAGCCATCTTGATTATTTCCATGGAGAATTTTAATGTGGCCTCACCTCCTTATATTGTATCCTATGTGTATTTCAGGTAAGCCAAGGAACATAACTGTAACTGAGGAGAACTCCAAAGGAGTCAGATTTTGTTCCATGTTGATAATGCTCCATAGTACTCAAAGCTTTATGTTTTACTGTTTTCACCAAGCTTGCTATTGCTAGGAATCCCACATGTCTAAGAAACTTCTTGTGGAGGTGATGGGATTTAAGGCCCATCAAACAAGAGCCCATGGCCAAGTGAAACATCTTGTCACCTTGAAACAATTAGCTGCTCAAAGAAATTATCTTTGATGGTTATAATTCTGTCATTAATTAGCACGTGAATTATGTGCAGTGTAGAAAGACATTTCACAGTCTTTTGCCCCTGGAAGTTTTGGGAAATGAATTGATGGCAGAAGGAAACCAAAATGAGCAGACGCCCTGCATTACAGTGAAGATAAATGCAGGAAAACACAGAACTGATCTGAGCCAACAGGATCTGAGATGTATAGCCATTAACTCCACACAAAACCACTTCTTTCTTTGGCGGGCTTATTCCAAAATGGATAATGTCCATGCTGGGTTTGAGAAGGAGTAAAGTCACTGTGGAAGAGAGAGCAGAGGAGCATTAAATTTTGTCAATAAAAAGACAAGTAGGGTACCTTGTTGTGGAACATGCCAAGAGAAATTTAGTACTCTATTTATCTTGAATATAGATTAAGTGACATTTAATAGTTTACTGTAATTTAATTATTATTTCTAATTTAAATTAATGGCCTGACCTATTTCTTGAAGAACTTTATTCCATTTTCCATCTGCATAGAATTGCAAGTACATTAAAAACATACATGTTAAATCTCCCACACCAATTAAGATTATTTGC